GAGAGAGAGAGAGAGAGAGAGAGAGAGAGAGAGAGAGACAGAAAGAGTGTGTGTGTGAGTATGACAGAGAGTGTGTGTGTGAGAGAGAGAGCATGAGAGAGACAGTATGAGAGAGAGTGTGTGTGAGAGAGAGAATGAGAGAGTGTGTGTGTGTGTGTGTGAGAGAGAGAGAGTATGAAAGAGAGAGGATGTATGTGAGTATGAGAGAGAGAGAGAGAGAGAGAGAGAGAGAGAGAGAGAGAGAGTGTTGTAGAGATGTCATGGTGAGAGAAGAGGCTTCATATCTCCTGCACTCTCTGTAAGTGTGTAGCTATCGACAAACCCCAGAGTGGTTCGTGGGCAGCAGCCCATTGTTTTAGTTATTTCTCTGTGTTCTCCATCTCCAGCCCACCCCTCCTGGTTCACGTTTTGCTCCTTGGAATGGAGAAAGCTGGTTATATTGCATCAGTAGATGCTGCTCTCAGGACCCAGAGCTTCCTTTGCCGGCTCCATCAGAGCCTTCTCTGTAAAGGGCTCTATTACTACTTCTTCCTACAGAGCTCCGGTGCAGCAAGGGGAGGTTCTATACCTGGAAACCTCCTGTCTGTTGCCCCTTTGCCTACCGTTTTCACTTCTCGATACGTGGAGTATAGTTGCTTGTTCCTGGGTAACAGATTTTCATGCCCGTTCTTTCTGGCCTATGGGGAGAGGGGATAGAGATGGGTGAGAAGAGGATAAGATAGATACCCAGGGCAGGAAAGAGTTAAAAATGGGGGTCGGGGAGGGAGAGAAACTTTTCCTTCCATAAAGATGAAATGGATAATCTGATTTTAGCTTTGCAGAGTAGCTGCTGAATCTGGGATTTGCTGCATTTATAGGTTCTGAAAGGGATTAAGCAGGAGGGACCGACGCCAGACAAGGTAGTACTGGCCTTGGGGCCACTGTATACAGTGACAGAAATGTAAGGATAGCTGGCATAGGGGAGGAGGAACTAAAATGCAGCAGGATCTCTGCCTTTTAGCCTATGCACACATGGCAGAAGGGCTGTATTTCCCTGTACACAGCACATTTCCCCCATTTTTCAAATGAGCTCCACCAAATGGCCTGGGAACTTCTGACTCAATGAAAACCTTCCTGTGGGTCTTTCTGTGCATCACGCATTAAGCCACAGCTGATCTAGAGCCGGTAAATCTCTTGTGAGCCCCCTCCTTTGGGGAAGAAAGGCTGTGCCAGCCAGGCAAAGGAAAAGCTAATGGAAGGAGGATGGGGCATCCTTCTATTCACTGTAAAGTCTGCTTTCTTTCTGACTTCATTTTTGCAAAATGCGAGAGAGCCTCAGAGCATTTATTTACACCTGGAACAGAGGGCTCTAGCATACATGTCTGCCTGAGGTTTCTTTAGGAGGTGGATGAGAACTTGAATCTCAAATTACATTTGCAGATTCAATCTAGCACCTTTTGATGCATGCTGACATCGGGGTAATCTGATTCACCCACAGAAAGTATAGAACATAGGCAAGAAGAGCACCACAGTGACAAGCCAGTAAGGAGTAACAGCTTAAGCGCTCTCCTTCCAGTTGGCTCAAGTATGCCCTGACTCATTCCTGTTGTCCTAAGGATATGTGGGAGACAGGAGAGGCTGAACACGTCTACCCAGCATGATTAGTGTGCAGCAAAGGTGACCTTTGCCACATTGATCTGCAAGTTTCATCCTGATGGATACATGGTGTTAGGAGTTTCAAGACTGAATACTACTGACAAAAGTTGAATTCTTCTGACAAACATTTAAACTATGCTTCATCTTTATAGGACATGAGGAAGAATCAATTCACTATTAGAGTTGTGGGTTTGCATGAGTGCAAATGGGTAGATTTAATAATTTAACAACCAGTATTTATTGTGGGCACCACATTTCTTAGGAAGATATGAAGAGAATACAAATTTGCTATTCTTTAGGTACACCGAGATAAACCAGACACAGCTTCTCACATCAAGCTGTTCACCATCCACCAATCTGAATCCCACAAGCAAGGCTTTGTATTAACTGCCTTTCACTGTGCTGTGACAAAATACCCAGAAGAAATGGGTAAGGAAAAGGTTTATTCTGGCTTATAAATTTGGGGATTTCAGTCTGTCATGTGAGGGAAGCAGAAGAGAGCCATTTGGACCATGGCAGCAAGAGAGGGTTGATGGGGGAAGTCCTTCTGCGTATATGTTTGTCTTTTTGGTTGATAAATAAAGCTCTGTTGGGCAATAGGGAAGCAAGATAGGTGGGGCTAGGATTTGAGGAGGATTCTGGGAAATGTAGTAAACAGGAGAATTGCCATGTGATCCCAGGGAAGAGAGGATGCATGCCACTGGCGTCCTTGATAAGTCTTTATAAAATAGATAGATTAATGGTTGTGGTTGATACTTAAGACAGAGCTAGCAAATAAGAAATCGTAGTCATTGGCCACCAGCATTGTAACTAATGTTAATCTCTGTATGTTATTTGGGGGCCATAACGTGGTGGCAAAACTCAGGTGGCTGTCGAAAAGAGTTATCGTTACAAATGGTGCACATGTGGTTTTACGATCTTCCACATAAAAACTTCACAAAAACTTAAAAGGGATTTTAGAAACAAAAAGAAATGAGGCAAGCACAGTTTCTTGATAGCAGCATTTTCTTGGATTAGCTCTGTTTCCCAGGCATTAAGAGACATGCCTTGACTCCTTTTAAGAGCAGTTTCCTCATTTACATAGTGGCCAAAACCATGGCTGTTAGCGAGCACATAAGAATGGTGTGATTAGAAAAAGATATGGATTTACATTAAAGAAAAAATATACATAGATATGGGAGAGAAAATAAAAAAATAATGAGTAGCTGGGTATACTGACATGCGCCTTTAATCCCAGCACTCCAGAAGCAGAGGCAGTCAAATTTCCACAGAGAAACCTTGTCTCAAGAAAAAAGAAAAAAAGAGAGTAAAAGAAATAGAATAATAAAAAGCCAGGTAAAGATGGAAAATACTCACAGAGTCTGGATACTATATGTTATAACGTTATCTTTAAATTGTTTGATTGCTGAGGAAAGAGCTACAGCTGCTAAAATACATTTGATTATAGGTGCTGTTAAATTAATCCAAGTTACATATTTTAAAATGCTTTGACTTCTAAATTTAAAAATAAGGACAGGTTACTTGGGAAAAGAGTTTTTGCTTATGTTTCCACAGAAAGTATAAAGCTATGGATTCCTTCCAGACTAATATGGTTTAATGAAGCAAGACCCCCTGAAACAGTGTCCCAAGTGATCCAACATTTAAAACAGCTAAGACGATACAGCCTTACAGACTACAAAAACAAGGACCTGGCCAGGTTTCTGTGTTTTATTATGATCCCCATGGTATGGACATTGCCCCCAACCAGGAGGAAGAAGTTTGGAATGAACAATGCCCAAATTCCCAAATATTGTTTATAATGTTTGTTTTCATTTAAATGGCATTGGTTATAAATGGTAATAATGACAGTCAATCTCCTTTTAAAGGAAAACAGGGGTATAGGATATAGAAATGAATACTTTGCATTGGTATGGATTTTCATTTATTGATATAACTTTAAGGTCATTTTGTGATATGTATATTTCTCTTTTTGTTTGGGTATTGTGTTTATACAGATCTTTTAAAATGTAATGCATAATTAAATACAGATTGTATATAGTCAGGGATAATAGTCAAAATTTACAGTTAGGTTTGTTAGGTTTTCTAGATATACAGAGATTGTATTTGAGATGGATAGACATTCTTCAAACCTTTCAAAGACCTATAGAATAAGACATTTAAATCATTTATGGTTTTTCATGACAGTGAGACACAACTGCTCCTGGCACAATTATGTCAGAAAGGAGGCTGGGCATCTAAGAAACTCAATATGGAATTTGCCTTCAACATGGCAAGATTAGCCATTTGGGCAAGAAACAGCTCTTGCCTGGACTGTTTGATAAACTGGACATGCAGGACCCACAGGAAAGTGACTGCTGAACTTGCAAAACAAGACAGTCCTAAAGGGTTCCTACTTCATGGAAGAGTCTTCCAGACAATCTACAGGACACACAGAAAAATGACTGTCAAACTGCCAATACAGGTGGACAGTTTAAAATGTCCTGTTTCACTGAGAAGTATGCCAGACACACTGTGGCTTATAGGCTGAAGATGCATGCCCCAACATTACAGAGGAACTTTGGGTGACTGTCCAGGTAGTGAGATGTCTCCGTCATATCTAGAGTTTATATATTATCCTTCTGTGGTCTTTGATGGAGTTGAAGACAGATAGTTATGGTTATAGTTTTCTTTAGTTATTATAAAAGATAAGCTATATATAAGACTTTAGACTCACAAAGATAGATGATAGAATATTTTCTTTAAGATCTTGCTAAATGTTAATGAACTAAATATTGTAACTATAGTTCTTACTTGATAACTGTTTTGTTATATATTTTACTATGTTAATGTTAAAATCCTTTTTATTTAGACAGAAAAGAGGAGATGATGGGGGAAGTCCTTCTGTGTATATGTTTGTCTTAGTGGTTGATAAATAAAGCACTGTTGGCCAATAGGGAAGCATGATAGGTGGGGTTAGGATTTGAGGAGGATTCTGGGAAATGTAGTAAAGAGGAGAGTTGCCATGTGATCCCGAGGAAGAGAGGACACATGCCAGTGACATCCTGGATAAGATAAGTCTTTATAAAATATATAGATTAGTGATTATGGTTGATACTTAAGACAAAGCTAGCAAATAAGAAATCCTAGTCATTGGCCAGCAGCATTGTAACTAATATTAATCTCCATTATTTGGAGGCCCAAAGGTGGCAGCAGAACACAGGCGGCTGGCAGAAAGAGTTATCGTTACAGAGGATGGCTTCATGTTCACACGACACTGGGCCAGGAAGTAGATAACTCGTGCAGAACCAGGGGCAGGTATAACTCTCAAAGTCCAGTCCCAAGTGCTCTGACTTTTTCAAGGCCCTACAGCCTTCCCTATGATGCCATAAGCTGCAGATGAAGTTATGGAAACACAAACTTCTGTGGGGTTACTTCAGATTTGGACTAACAGTGCTGAAGATGCTATGACAGAAACAACTGCTGGAGGCCCCAGTGATGCTGGTGGGCATTGCTGAGTTCACTGGGAGTAATGAACAGAGAGGAGGGTCTGAAAGGAGGAAGATGTCAAGAGATGCGTAGATAGGCACTTCTCTGATAAATGAGAGAAAGGGAAGGCATCCTGGGAGAAGGACCAAGCAATAACCTGGGAGAAGAACTAATCATATCCCCCTCTGATGGTGAGAGCATCCTGGTTGCCTGGGGGAGAAGGGCTTAAATGAGATGAGAAGAGGGACTTGAGAGTAAGCTCTCTGTGCATGCTCCTTGGCTTTGAGCTGAGTCAACTCTCTGCCATGTCTTCTCAGGCACTCTGGGGGTGGCCTACCCTGTAGCTCAGGCTCCTCAATCCATTTCCCATGGTTTTGAGGTCTTGAGACTCAGTTACCCCTCAAAAACTGTCACTGAAAGCATCAATGATACCTCTGGGACCTTAGAAAGGAGACAGGGACTACTTGTCAGTGTAGGAATAAAGAAAGCATTCCTAGAAGGGCCTTTGGTGGTGAGTTTCAGAGGTAAAAAGATTTGGATGGAGGGTAGCAAACCCTTGGGCTCACTTGTAGCAGAG